CCTAGCTGCCGCACCAAAATTTCACGGAAGTTCCTCGATTTTGATTGGCTAAAAGCGACGATCAATAATTTAGGCCAAAATTACTCAAAATTTTACTAATGAAACCACAGCCGCACATTAAGTGAAAAACATTCCTGGGCTAATTTTACTATTGTGCGGGCCTATTTCTCTAATAATTTTCATTATGGGATTGAAAAAGTTAAAAAGTTAATTCCGGCCAAAAATTATGTAAACAATTATGTAATGCAGGCCAAAATTTTGTAGATCACGGTCGTTAGCCAATCAAAATCGAGGATCTTCCGTGAAATTTTGGTGCGTCAGCTAGGTTCAATTATGAGGCTTACCGTTTCCGTATTACAGACCCAAAATCAAAGGTACAAAATAAGAAAAATGGAAATTTTTATTGAATTTCCATTTCGGGCATAATACCGTACGTACGGACGGAATGTCAAATGGTTACACGATTTGTGCTAACCTAGTGTTGTTAGTCGAAACCTATAAGTTTCATCACGAAATGACGAACTTGGCGAAACTACGAAAAGTACCTTTTTTTTATTTAAACGTAAAAGCGATTTAAATTAATTCACATTTTAAGTTCTTTGAGTTTGAAAAATGCTTCATAACGTTTAAATTCTTTTAAGTTGAATGAAATAGCTTCGTAACTTTTTAGTAGAGCTATAATATTAGTTCTTGCAAATTTTATCCAATAATATTAATCATTAAGGATGTCATCTAGTTAAAAATTTATGTCATTATTTTTTGTGGATGCCGCCATATACTTTTAGTGTCTATACACAAACGATACAACATCAGCAAAATCAGCATTGCAAGCGAATAATAAATTAACAATACAATAAATGGATAAAGACGAGTAAACTACACAAACGACGAGTAAAAACGTGCAAACAATGAGGCAATAAAAAGTAAACAATGCAAGCACCCAAGTAAAATCATAGCCATAATTTAAACATTGTAAAGAACAAGATGCATTATAATATATTACAAGTCAACCAATATCAATTTGAAATTTAAAAATGTAAAACAATATTTATTCAAAAAATATATGTTTTCACAATTTTAAAATATCCAACCTAATATACTTAGGTTGTTCTCAAGCAGCTCCCTCGATGTAATTTGCAAGTGATCGAGATGCTGCTCAATCATTTCGATTAATTAAAATTACTTGAAGTGATCCCTGTAACAATTTTGCCGAAAATGTATTGTGCGTAGCTTTATGAAAAAAAAGATGGTTGTTAGCTCCAGATTTTTTGACCGAAATGATTAAACACGATTTATTTTTTTCAGCTAATCGGGTCACTTTATCGGCCATAGAGGGAGGTGCTTGAGAACAACCTTATCCTAATTATGTCTTCACTCAACAGATAAAAATAGTTAACCAGTGTTACAAAGGATAAGTACTGTATATATGTAGAATTTGGCTTCTAGCGTTGGTGTTGGGGCTTGAGTGCATATTTGTGCTGACTTAGGGTCGAAATTTGTAACGTTAAAGCAATTCGCTGACTTAGGGCGTTCTATGGCACCTCTCTCAATGAATTCGATTAGCCAGTTTGATCAGACAGATCAATCAGATTCTTTGTTGAGTCCATTGAGAAAGGTACTCGAGGACGCCCTCAACCAATACGAATGAATGAAAACTAATAAGTGACTGATTCATTATTTTCAATACTTCTATTAAAAATGGTCGTTATACCCACCGGCTAAAGATTTGAAATTAAAAAGAATAATATAAGGTATGGTTTATTATCAAAAATCCACTAATATAGTGATGCTGATATAATATTGTTGATTGTTGTCATTAAAATGGGAATATGCTAAAAAGAATGAATATTTTAAGTTGTTTATTATAATAAAATGGAATTGGAGGAAATAATATATTGCATTAATTAATTGTCAAAACTTCTAAGTGATATTTGGTCCTTCGGACTTTGAATGGTTTCTATTTTCCTACATGGTCTTTTAAATACTAAATATACATTTATTTATATGTGCGAAAAATAATTAGTTTACTATTTCCATTATTTCAATTATTATGACTTCATTCACTTTGTGCTTCCGGTGGATTTATGATGAACCTTCTATTTAGAGATACTGTATTCAATTTTGGCCGATCAATCTTTGCTAAATACAAATATGCGTATAATGATTATTTGATGGTAAACTTGGATTGCATCAGTTTCTTCCCGGATATAAGGTTGGATTGTGCAATTTTTCTTTGCTTATGGTATTTTTAGTAAAATTTCCTTGCAATTCCAGGAAAGGAAATTTGCGGGTTATTAAGATATTCTAGATATTGCAATAACGAAGTGCAATTACAATTGCTATTGCTTCTTCAATTACAATTGCTATTGCTTTTTCAATTACAGTTGCTATGCGTTTAAATACAAACCTTGGGCGCATTAGGGTGATAAAAAGACTTCCTTTAACTCCTTTATTAGTTTTTTATCTTGACTTAAGAATATGTTCTTCGGTTTTTCTTTTTTGTTTTTGTCAGATTTTTTACCGAACTGATGAATTGATAACCACTGAGTCAAAGATAATTTTTGTTATCATTTTGGTAAACTTTTCGATAAGCATGAGGAAATTATAAATGAAGCCAATGAGTTTTCATTTAGAGTCGATAATCTCTAAAATATTTGGCCCATTCTTGAGACGGAATTGATTATATATAGGGATCTACTATTTCCACTATGATTTTTTGCTATTTCCATCATGGCAGGGTTGGCACATTTGTCCATTGGTATGAATGGACCCAAGTCCATTGACCAGTTCCATTGGTTCCATTGGACGGTCACAATTCCAATGGACCAATGGACAAAGTAGGTAAAATAATTATATAGCTTTTATAAATGAGTTTAGAATATTATACCACGTGATATTTGAGATTTTTTTTGGTATTGACCTTATTTTGGCTTATGCTAATGAACTAATGGACTAATGGACCAATGGATTATGATATTGGTCCATTGAGTTCCATTGACAGCCAACCTGCATTATAGTTACACAAAATTTTCTATTTTTAGTTTTAAATTTTATATTGATTTAATCAATAATATAAAATCAATTATTATAATAAAATGCACCTATGGTGGTTTTGCATCTATTATATGTTTTATTATGTTGTTTAAAATTTTCTGTTTTTATAAGTTTTGTATATAAAATTTTTAACATCAATTTTTTCATGTTATATTTTACTTAGAACACCTTATATCAATTAATTAGCCAGTTTTTGAGATAATGTATATATAGGTATAAAATACCATAGAAGCGTTTTAGTAAAATTCATATAAAATTAAAAATTAAAGTTTTTTTTAAATTAGGGTTTGTTGGGGTTAAAGGCGCTAATATAAGGATCTGCAAATTAGTGATTATACAAACTACTAAGGACTATAATACTTTGTATAACTAACAATATATGGATCTTTATGTTATACATCTTTAATTCCAAATATCTTGGGATTCACCAGGCCGATTTTGATGATCTAACTCTAATAAATCTTAATTTAATAAAATCTTTTTTAATTGTCTGAAGGACATTACAGTAAAGGCATAGTAACCTGTTTTGTGTATGTGTCTGCAAATTAAGGCTTTTGATTGGTTAATCAAATTAAAACAATTATTATATTTTGAAAATAGCCATTTTGTCAAACTGATCTTGTTGGTTTTTACTTCAGTCTTAAAATGGGTTCTATTTGCCTAGTTTAAAAAGAATTTAATTATTTTGTATAGATATATTATAGCATATCCTATAAGATTAGGTGTAATGTAGAATCAAAAACTAATGACACATTTGTTTAGAGTAAGGTTGTGCATTACAATAGGATTAGAGTAAAGTATTTACAAAAGTACATAGTTCAAAATTTTGCAAGAAATTTTTTTTTATTAGAACTGAAGGTAATTTATAAGCAAAATTATGAGCTGCAGTCAATTTTTTTAAAAAAATTTTATTTTTTTTTGATTTCACATTACACCTAATTTTACAATCTGATTAGTTGATCAGGTGAATGCATTATAATATACATGCACTAAATTATATAACTCTTTTAAAAAAATTAAAATTTCTTATATTAGACCTGTAGATCAATAGCACAGTGATTAGTGCTCCTGGGTCACAATCACAAGGTTGTGAGTTCGAGTTTTACTAAGTGACTGAGTGATGAACAGCTCTGTCAGGACCACAATTGGCTAAGATCTTTAGAGGATTTTTCATTAAAAAATAAAGAACAAGACTTATACAAGATGCAGTCTGCCAGCATAGCTACAGGGTCAGGGACAATCAGATAAGGCGTAATCTGTCAACAAACAATGCTAAAATTGAGAAAACCCAGCATAAGAATATATAAAATAATGATTCAGCTTGTAGGTCATGTGAAGTTAGAAAACTGTGGATCTAGAAAATTTAGATTCTACACTGCAGCACTAGGAACCCAGAATGTTATATGACGTACTTAACAGAGTATAAGTTATCTTACCAATATGATGATATATAGATGGCCAATTTGCCATACTAGTGATCTCTGCAGATATGAAAACTCTGGCCTTTAAGAAATGTGAGAGATCCAAAGGTGTCTAAGGACCTTCGAGATGCAGAGAGAGGTAAAAAAAAATTTCTTATATTTATGTCTTTAAAACTAAATATCTTGAAATTTACTAAGCCAATTTTGATGATCTAACCACCATTAAGACCAAAAAATCTCTTGACAATTTTAATATAATAAAAACTTCTTTAATTTTAAAAAAAAATTATTTTTTTAAATTTGATTAGTTAACTAAAAATAGAAATTTTGTATAACTATAGTAGAAATAGTAAAAATCTATAGTGAAAATAGTAGATCCCTATATATAATGTTTTATTTTATTAAAATTTCAACTATAATTCAACAGTTAATATACTTAATAATCTCATCAACAAATCATGTAATAGAATAGCAATACTACTCTTTTATAGCATAAATCTTGTTTCAACCTAGATACAAGTATTATTAATCATTATTACTATTTCCTATTGATTCAAATTCTATTTTAAAATACTTTTTATCATGTTCTTTAATTAATGTAATAGGGATTATATAAGCATCTGATTTATTATAAAATCCTCCATGAAGAATTCCTACCAGTAGATTATCTTCATCAATAACTAAGGAACCTGAATCTCCTGGAGCACCTATGTTTTAAATTAATAGTAAATAAAAATTAAATAAAATAATAAAATAAATATTAACTTACCAAATGGTTGTTCTTCAGTACTATATATCAATAAAGCAAAAATTCTTTTTGGAGGATCGAAGGCTAAAGATATAACTTTATACCATCGATCTTCTATTTGTCCTTTCATGAAAAATGTAGTCCTACCAACCTTACTAACCTTAATTTTATTATTTAAATTGTAGCTTAAAGAAGTATTAAAACCAGAAATATTTATTTCAGTTCCAAATAATTCATTTAGATTTTCTGTCACTCTACGATTATTGTCAATCCTACAATCAAGAAGATGTCTATTTCTGTTGGTATTCAAAAAATTGTATTTTGAGACTTTGGCGCAACACTTAGAAGAAATCTTTATCAAAAAAAGGAATATCAACAAATAAGCACAAAAAGGTCAACAACCACTAAATACTCACATTATCAAATCTTCCTAGTTGCTATACTGAAGAACCTAGTTTTCTAACTTCATGATTTGTTGTAAGAATATAAACACCTCCAGATTTTGATTTTATTTGAACTAATAGGCCTAGCGTAGATGCATTTGATGAACCTTCAAAATGCCTAATACTGATACCAGGCGTAAGTTCTTCATGGTAAGATCGATGAAATGGCATGACTGTTCTATAGTCAATAATCACAGAAAAATCCTCAAATACGGGTAGTAAATAAAAACATAATGATGATCTCTCCAGTAGATTTAAGGTAACAATGATAACTTCTTTCTCATCAACCAACCTAAAATTTATTGCAGATATTTCATCTCTTCTAAATTCTTCCCAAAAAGCCCTAATTGCAGAAAAAAGTTTTTCAAGATTTTCTCTATTTCAGATTGAGAGAACTTTACAATTGCCAAGTCGTTCAATGTTATCTAAAAATTGTATTTTCTCTTTTAAGTGTGATATTTTATCCTAATTTTAATTTCATTTCTTTTCATTTTGATTAGGTCACGTAAAGTTAATTTTTCATTTTGCATAACCCACCTACTCATTTTTTTAAATTTTTCAAAATTTTTTTTTTTAAAGTTTCAATTGTGCTAATTATTCTATTTTTGGCATTTAATTTTCTACTAATTTTATCCGATATCACCTGAAAGAAACCTTGGTATCTCAGAATACTCTGATAGAAAAAAAATCTTAGCACTGACCCATGCTAAGCAAACAAAAAATTAACTTTGTATAATCTTAGATATGAACATAAGTCTATTAATTTACAATAGATTAAAAAAAAAAAGCTGACTGACCAATCTAATTTTTCTGATTCCATGTTATGCAAAATGAAAAATCAACTTTGCATGGCCTTATATTTGTTAAATAATATTCATTTACCTTTGTGCTGATCTTCCACAGTAATATCTAAAATACATTAATGACACTATTTTAGATTTACTATAGTCATAACTATCTGTAAAGAAGAGAAAATTTATGTACTTCTTAAGCCTTCATTGAGCTTTCGTTATTCAAGTACCCGCTTGTGAAAATCAGACCAAGATAATTGTTTATTTGACACATACAAGCAGAACTAAAAATAAATCAATTTATTAATAAATAATCAATGTTAAATTAAAAAGAACATCATGTACCATTAAATTTTTTATAATGCTCTGGCTTATGATCTCTTTTTCAGAACCTAATTTATGAATTTCTTTCACTTTTTCAATGAATTTAGAAAATGAATCTAATATAAGTTCTTGAGATTTATTTATGAATTTAATTCAAATTCCCTCATCAGTGAAGACGATTTCACTTTCTAGTTCGAAAGAATGTTCTTTAAAAATAATTTTGTCCTTAGGTGCAAGTTCTTTTCATTGGATACAACTATTAAAAGTAAGATGGTAACCTGATAATTCACAAAGAATATGCATATAATTTTTGTTTAACTTGTAAGAAAAATATATGGAAAGCTTATCCAATCCCTCCAATATCTTGCCACCAAGTTTTCTTTTAATATTCGCATTAGGGTTATCAAAAAGGATATTCAATTTCTCATTTGATTCATTGACATTCCACAATTTAAATTTTGCATTATTAAAATAGGCAATGTTTTGTTTTTTTTCTTTAATGATCTCTTTGAGTCTGCTAACAGTCGTTTCAGTATCTACTTCAACAGAAAAAATATTAGCAACATCAGGAGTATCACCGTGAAAAAGACAATTAAGCTCAACAGTAGGCATGATCCAAAACTGTTATAAATAAGAAATCATTTACGTTATTTCAGCAATTATTAAACTAAATATCTAAATCAAACATTACTTACATTTTTCAATATCAAAATGATATAACTTTTAATGGTTGAAAGAAATCTGATTATAAGAAGCAAGATGCCAAAATTGAAAAGAATAATGCCGGTGATGCAAAAGATCTAGGATTACCAAATTACTTTGACAGTTTAAAGAACGAAAGGTATACTTTTGAATTTTTTGTGTATCCACCTTTGCCAAGTCGTATCCGTGGCTGCCAAACCATTTTTGTATCTGAAAAATATTACGCCACTATGTAAAACATATTGTGTAACATTTCGGTCTATCATCAAA